AGTCAGCAGAAGTTCATTTAGAGTACCAAGATATAAACAGACCATTTCCTGGGGAAGGTGTTAGCAGCAAAAGGATTTCAAACTAATTTGCACTTTATAAATAAAGTGTTGTGATAGGCATATACCACATACCATTAAGATGTAACAGAATCTGCTCTGGCCTTAATGGTGTATAATACTTGGTTTGATGTACAAATATGAATATATAACTTGCTGATATTAAATAAGAAAGGCTTGCTATATCTCCATTTATGGGATGAGTCATGGATGTGTCCAAGGAAAAGGAGGAGATAATTGGATTTCTTTATAATTTTGTTGAATTCCACAGAATAAATTTAAGGACTACTACCTGCTTACTATTTCTTAATGGAATAAAAGATAAACACCAAGGACAAACACTCACAATGGTAAATAATCTTTAGATAATAAATACCCGGTACCAAAAAACATATGAGTATGCAAAAATGTAGATGTTTCTATACAGCTAAATAAATTTTTTAAAATAGTAGTAGAAAATAATAACAAAGACATTTCATCATTTCAAGCTTTGAAATCTGGAAATTCAAAAAAGTTTTGGTGGCAGTTATGTATATCAGGCAGTAACAACAGCAGGTCTTGCTTTGGATTGACTTTTATTTGGGATATGATTAATTTGGGACTCCAGGGTACTGTTTTTCAATATGATGTTTCAGAGCCATGTTAAAAAAAAGTTGGGGAGGGGGGCTAGAGATAATAACTGAGAGCCTTTTACAAAGACCTGATGGTTGATTTTATTTCCACCATCTTCTTCTTCCACTGTTATTGCCTGAGGTTTACTCTGGCTCCCTTGGATAAAGAAGATGTTTGCTCCATGGTCTTCAGGCTCACAGATTTAACCTATCCAATGCATCAGATGTGCAATGTCCAAGATATTTTTCAACGCAAAATCGTTTTACTTCACTACACATCTTTATTCCACAACATAAATTGCCTCTTTGATATTTGCTTGATTAGAAACAACATTGAAATGTATTTAAATACTCTGATACTTTATATTTCTCCAAATGCATTTCTTGCAGTGCTCCCTGCTTCACACAACTACATCCTGAGTTCTGCCCATCTTGAAATGGGCTAAGTCAAATATTTCTTTTGATTTTTAAAAAATTTTATTTTATTTTAGGTTCCAGGATACATGGGTAGAACATGCAGGTTTGTTACATAGGTAAATGTGTGCCATGGTGGTTTGCTGCACCTATCAAACTGTCACCTAGATATTAAGCCTCACATGCATTAAGTATTAGTCCTGATGCTCTCTGTCCCCTCAACCCCCTTAACAGGCCCCAGGGTGTGTTGTCCCCCAACCCCTGTGTCCATGTGTTCCAACTGTTCAGCTCCCACCTATGAGTGAGAACATGTGATGTTTTGTTTTCAGTTCCTGGTTTAGTTTGCTAAGAACGAATTATTAGCATTATGAATTTATGCTAAAGAATAATTGCTAAAAATAATTCATTATGATTTTAGTTTGCTAAGAATAAGAATTATTCATTTTTAGCAAACTACAACAGCTTTGTTCATGTCCCTGCAAGGGACATGATCTCCTCCTCTTTTATGACTGCATAGTTTTCCATGTTGTATATGTGCCACATTTTCTTTATGAGATGGTATCTCATTGTGGTTTTGATGTGCATTTCTCTAATGATCAGTGATGTTGAACTTTTTAAATAGATATGTTGGACACATATATGTCTTCTTTGAGAAGTGTCTGTTCATGTCCTTTGCCTACTTTTTGATGGGGTTGTTTTTTTCTTATAAATTTGTTTAAGTTCCTTATAAATTCTGGATATTAGAGCTTTGTCAGATGGGTAGATTCCAAAATTTTTCTCCCATTCTATAGGTTGCCTGTCTGCTCTGATGATAGTTTATTTTGCTGTGCAGAAGCCCTTTAGTTTAATTACACTCTATTTTTCAATTTTAGCTCTTATTGCAATTGCTTTTGGTGATTTTATCATAAAATCTTTGCCCATGCCTATTTCCTGAATGATATTGCCTAGATTTTCTTCTAGGGTTTTTATGATTTGGAATTTTACATTTAAGTCTTTAATCTATCTTGAGCTAATTTTTGTATAAGGTGTAAGACAAAGGTCCAGTTTCAGTTTTCTACATATGGCTAACCAGTTTTCCCAGCACCATTTACTAAATAGGGTATCCTTTCCCCGTTGCTTGTTTTTGTCAGGTTTGTCAAAGATCAGGTGGTTGTAGATGTCAGGTCTTATTTCTGAGATCTCTATTCTGTTCTGTTGGTCTGTGTGTCTGTTTTGGTACCAGTACCATGATATTCTGGTTCCTGTAGCCTTGGAGTAAAGTTTGACGTCAGGTAGTATGGTGCCTCCAGCTTTGTTCTATTTGCTTAGGGTTGACTTGGCTATATGGGCTTTTTTTTTTTTGGTTCCATAGGAATTTCAAAGTAGTTTTTTCTAATTCTGTGAAAAATGTCAATGGTAGTTTGATGGGAATAGCATTGAATAGCATACATTGAGCAGTATAGCCATTTTCATGCTATTGATTCTTCCCATCCGTTAACATGGAATATTTTTCCATTTGTTAGCGTCTTCTCTTATTTCCTTGAGTAGTGGTTTGCATTTCTCCTTGAAGGGGTCCTTCACATCCTTTGTTAGCTGTATTCCTAGGTATTTTATTCTTTGTAGCAACTGTAAATGGAAGTTCATTCATGAGTTGGCTCTCTGCTTGTCTATTGTTGGTGTATAGGAATGCTTGTAATTTTTGGACATTTATTTTGTATCCTGAGACGTTGTTGAAATTGCTTATCAGCTTAAAGAGCTTTTGGACTGAGACAATGGGGTTTTCTAGGCATAGGATTATTTCATCTGCAAACAGAGAAAATTTGACTACCTCTCTTCCTATTTGAATGCACTTTGTTTCTTTCTCTTGCCTGAATGCCCTGACCATAACTTCCAATACTATGTTGAATAGGAGTGGTGAGAGAGGGCATCTACTGAACTCTCCAGTACAAAATTACAGAATATACATTTTTCTCAGTGCTACATAGCACCCACATAGCACTTACTCTAAAGTAGATTACATAATTGGTAATAAAGCACTCCTCAACAAATGCAAAAGAGCTGAAATCATACCAGTCTCTCAGACCAAAGCATAATCAAATTAGAACTCAAGACCAAGAAACTCACTCAAAACCACACAACTACATAGAAATTGAACAACCTGCTCCCGTATGACTCCTGGGTAAATAATTAAATTAAGACAGAAATCAAGGAGTTCTTTGAAACCAATGAGAACAAAGATGTAGCAAAAAATGTAGCAACAAAAATGTAGCAAAATCTCTGGGATGCAGCTAAAGCAGTGTTAAGAGGAAAACTTATAGCACTAAATGCCCACATCAGAAAGTAAGAAAGATCTCAAATTGACACCCTAACACCACAACTAAAAGAACTAGAGAAGCATATGCAAACAAATCCAAAGGCTAGCAGAAGACAAGAAATAACTAAGATCAGAGTGGAACTGAAAGAGATAGACACACAAAAAAAATCATTGAAAAAAATCAATGAATCCAAGAGTTGGTTTTTTGAAAAAAATAAAATAAAATAGACTGCTGGCTAGATTAATAAAGAAGAAAAGAAAGAATAATCAGATAGACACAATAAAAAATGATAAAGGGGATATCGCCACTGACCCCATAGAAATACAAACTACCATCTGAGAATGCTATTAACACTCTACGCAGAAAACTAGAAAATCTAGAAAAAATTGATAAATTCGTGGACACATACACACTCCTAAGACTAAATCAGGAAGAAATTGAATCCTTGAATAGATCAGTAACAAGTTCTGAAATTGAGGGAGTACTAAATGGCCTACCAACCAAAAAAAGCCCAGGACCAGATGGATTCACAACCTAATTCTACCAGAGGTACAAAGAGGAGCTGGTACCATTCTTCTGAAACTATTCCAAACAATTGAAAAAGGGGGACTTCTTTCTAACTCATTTATGAGGCCAGCATCACCCTGATACTAAAACCTGTCAGAGACACAATGGAAAGAGAACACTTCAGACTAATATCCCTGGTGAATATCGAGGCAAAAATTCTCAGTAAAATAGTAGCAAACCGAATCCAGCAGCACATCAAAAATATTATCCACCACGATCAAGTTGGCTTCATTCCTGGTTCAACATACACTAAGCAATAAACATAATTCATCACATAAACAACCAGTGACGACAACCACATGATTAACTCAATAGACATAGAAAAGGCCTTAGATAAAATTGAACATCCCTTCATGTTAAAAACTCAATAGCCGGGCACGGTGGCTCATTCCTGTAATCCCAGCACTCTGGGAGGCTGAGGTGGGCGGATCACCTGAGGTCAGGATCAGACCAGCCTGACTAACATGGTGAAACCCTATCTCTACTAAAATACAAAAACTAGCCTGGTGTAGTGGCGGGTGCCTGTAATCTCAGCTACTTGGGAGGCTGAGATGGGAAAATCGCTTGAAACCAGGAGGCAGAGGTTGCAGTGAGCCAAGATCACGCCATTGCACTCCAGCCTGGCAACAAAGCGAGACTCTGTCTCAAAAACAAACCAAAACAAAACAAAAAAACTCCCAATAAACTAGGTATTGATGGAACATATATGAAATTAATATAGGAACTATTTATGACAAACTCATAGCCAATATCATACTGAATGAGCAAAACCTGAAAGCATTTCCCCTGAAAACTGGCACAAAATGAGCCACATATTTCATACAGTTGAGCCTTTCCTCGCTGTGGTAGAACATGCCCTATAAGTCGCCAAAGTAGCACATTGCAGTGAAGCTTTTAAAGACCATGGAAGGGTTTTCTTTTGTCGCTAAATGTTTATCTGATTTGATTTATAACACTTTATTGTAAAAAGAAAAAATCAATTTTTTCAAAAATACAAAGGTTTTTGAATGTCCTCACTGCAAAAAATAAATGATAAATGCATGAGGTGATGGTCACACTAAATACCCTGATTTGATCATTATGTAAAATATATGTTTTGAAATGTCAAAATGTGCCCCCATAGATATGTAAAACTTTAATGTATCAACTTAATAAAATTAAAAATAGAAACCAAGCGAATAAACAAACAAAAAATGCAGCTTCTTTTCCACACAGAATTGGACGAAAAAATTATTCTCAGAAGATAAGTGCACAATTTATTCTTCCTTAGAAAAATAATGAGTGTTTTGATTAAGACAAGACAAGACTTCAAGACTTGGTCTGAGATGGAAAAGTTAAAACACAGAGTACTATACCCTTCTCTGAATTAAAGTGTACAGGTACCCCAAGGAGTAATGCCATTGATCTCATATCATCCTTCACTTGGCTGCAGGTAGGATAGTAGGTAAAAAAACAAACAAAAAAAAAGAGAACGGAAATTCCATTGTTGATGAGACTACTAACCTGGAGAAATATTAGGACAGAAGGAGAAAAAAATTCTGTAAGGAATTTTCTTTTATGAGGTATGACCCTAAAATTTAGCAATAGAGGCATATAATGATTTTTCTCCTAGGTTTTCTATTGCCTGTACTTGTGGGTCAGTTGGGAAGCTCTTATACACTTCAGCATTCTTGTCTGTAAAGTAAATGTCCAAATGTACTCCATGTATACTCTGTGAAAGTTGGATGAGGAAATAATTGTAAAAACAATGGACTAATTCACATGATTTACCATGACTAAAGCAAGGTAACTGAAGGTTGGTGAGAAGGCCTTATGCATACATATAAAGTGACCAGTAGAGTATGTCACAGTATGTATTTGAAAACTGAATTGATAAATAAGCTTGTACCTTCTCTGGAATTCTCAGACAAGGCAAATTATCCAGAATGGTGTGGGAAAACCAGACCTTCAACTCCATCTTCATCCTGCTGGGAATCTTCAATCACAGCCCCACCCACACCTTCCTTTTTTCTCTGGTCCTGGGCATCTTCTCAGTGGCCTTCATGGAAAATATTGCCATGGTTCTCCTCATCTACGTAGACAAACAGCTCCACACCCCCATGTACTTCCTCCTCAGTCAACTGTCCCTCATGGACCTCATGCTCATCTGCACCACTCTACCCAAGATGGCCTTCAGCTACTTGTCTGGGAAGAAATCTATCTCTCTGCCAGGTTGTGGAACTCAGATATTCTTTTACGTGTCCCTGCTTGGAGCTGAATGTTTCTTGTTGGCTGTCATGGCTTACGACCGCTATGTGGCTATATGTCACCCTCTTCGGTACACCATCCTCATGAATCCCAAACTCTGTGTCTTCATGACTGTTGCTTCCTGGACCTTGGGGTCTCTTGATGGGATTATAGTGCTTGCAGCTGTCCTGTCGTTTTCTTACTGCGGCTCTCTGGAAATTCATCACTTTTTCTGTGATGTTGCTGCCCTTTTACCTCTATCCTGCACAGAAACATCTGCATTTGAAAGACTACTTTTCATTTGTTGTGTGGTAATGCTAATCCTTCCAGTTTCAGTTATCATACTTTCCTATTCCCGTGTCCTTCGAACCGTGATCCACATGGGCTCTGGGGAAAGTCGCCGCAAGGCCTTCACTACCTGCTCCTCCCACCTGTCTGTGGTTGGACTCTACTACGGTGCTGCTATGTTCATGTACATGAGACCAGCTTCTAAACATACACCAGACCAGGACAAGATGGTGTCGGCATTCTACACTATTCTCACCCCTATGCTGAACCCTCTCATTTACAGCCTCCGCAACAAAGAAGTGTTCAGGGCACTACAGAAGGTACTGAAGAAAAGGAAGTTAATATGACTTTATCAAAATCTTTTTGAGTGCCTTCTGTGGTCAACACTCGTTCAAAAAAAAAAAAATGGAAATGGAATCTCTTACATTATTCTATTTCCGGTAGTTTGTATTAATATTTTTCCACTTTTCAAAATTATTTAGCATATTATTACATATATATCATTTGTAAACTAAGCTAGATTTGGATGTTAGTATAAGTGGCTTAATCCCTGTGAATGATAATTATATTATTAGGTGTCATCCATGGGTGGTACTTGATTTTAGGGTGCTTGCTTCTGAAGCCAGGTATTGGTCTGAAGTGTCTTACCTGTATCAGAAAGAAAAGGTTGGAGTTGATTCTCTGTTTTTGGAGAGATGCTGCTTTGTTCACACGTTACTTCCCAATTAGTACTTGTTTTTAGTTTTACCAGTCCTCAAACCCAAGAATGACTATTTTAATACTGTTTCTTCTGTCCTTGATTCCCAAGTATTTAAAAGTGGGGAGTTAGTGTCAACACTTTCTTCAATCAAGTTTTATGTCCGTTTAAAATATTTTCTAGAAACTCACATATACATACACACACTTAAATATATATGTGTATGATCTTTATACTAAGAAAATTAAATATTTTAATGAGCCCACATAACATATCTATTTGGTTGCGCTGCACAGTCAACATCTGTATCATGTCTGCTTTTATTCCTTATAATCCTTATATTAACCATCAGAATCTGAAGGCAGAGCAAGATGGTGGAATAGACGGCTCCACTGATCGTTCACATGCAAGGACAGCAATTTAACAATAATCTACACACAAACAACACATTCATGAGAACCAAAAATCAGGTGAGCCCTTGTAGTATCTGATTTTAACTTTATATCACTGATAAAGAGGCATCGAAGAGGTAGAAAAAACAACTTTAACAGAAAATGCCACCCCTCCCTCACCACTGACAGCAGCAACAGGGTGCTAAGAGTGTCTCTGGGCTCTGGTGAGGAAGAACACAACAATTGTGAGGGGTTGAGCTCAGTGCTGTCCTTTAAGAGCAGAAAGGAAAACCAGGTAAAGTTCAGATGATGCCTGGCCACAGACAGAGCATTTAAACCAGCCCTTGTCAGAGGGGAATTACTGATCCCGGTGGTCAAAGCCTGTGTTCCCACAGACCTTGACACTGAAGGCTAAAATGCGCTGAGGCTCTAAGTAAACTTAAGAGATAGTCTATACTATAAGTACTACAACTCTTAGGTGAGTCCTAGTGCTGAACTGGGCCCACAGATAGTGGACTGTGCAGGGGGCACATGAACTACTGAGACACCAGCTGGGACAACTAAGGTTGTGCTGGCATCACCCTTGCCTAACCTCAGGCTGCACAGCTCATGGTCTAAAAGAGTTCTTCCACTTGAGAAGAGAAGAGGAAAGAGTGGAGAGGACTTTGTCTTGCATTTCGGATACCAGTTTAGCCACAGCAAGATAATGCACTGGTCAAAGCTGTGAGGCCCTTATTCCAGGACCTCCCTCCCAGACAACATTTCTCTGCACATCCTGGGCAAGAAGGGAACCCATTTCCTTGGAGAAAAGGCACCAGTACTGCTAGCATGCATTGCCTAACTGAAGAGCCCTTGGGCCCTAAATGACCAGCAGTGATATCCAGGTATTACAGCGAGAGCCCTGGGAAAGACTCTGCTGGCTTCAAGTGAGACTCAGCTCATTTCCAGCGGTAGTGGCTACAGGGCAAAACTCTGTCTGCTTGAGAAAAACAAAGAAAAGGGGACTTTCTTTTGCACTGTAGGTACCAGCTCAGCCACAGGGGGCGGGGTGGGTGGTGGTGGGGAGAGGGGGGTGCAGGTAGTTCACCAGGCAGGTCCTTCAGGTTTCTGATTGAGGGAATTACTCTTTGATGGCATTTCTGGACCCACCCTGGGCCAGAGGGGAGCCCACTGCCCTGAAGGATTAAACAGCGTTCACTGCAAGCTGACTGAAGAGCCCTTGGGTCCTGAGGGAATATCAGCAGTAACCTGGAAGTACCTCCCAAGGGCCTGTGGTGGTGGCCATGAGATGAGGTTCCTCTTCATGTGGAAAGGGAAGGAGAAAGTGGGAAAAACTGCTTCTTGTGGTTTGAATGCCAACTTAGCTGCAGTACAATGGAATACCAGGTAGACTTCTAAGGTTTCTGACTCCAGTCCCTGTCTCCAAGATGGCACTCTTGACACAACTTGTGGCCAGTGTGAACTTGTGACCTTGAAGGGAAGGACACAAGTCTGACAGGCTTAGCCAGATATTGATGGTAGAGCTCCAGGGCCTTGAGGAAACATAGGCAGTAGCCAGGTGGTTACACCAGGCCTTAGGTTAGACCCAGGGCTGTGTTTAATTCAGGGCTGACCCACAGTCTCAGTAGTGGTGGTCACCTGGGTGCTTATGTCTCTCCACCCTCAGCTCCAGGTGGCTCAGGACAGACAGAGACTCCATTTTGGGAGGAGAAAGTAAGGGAAGAGAACAGAATCTCTGCCTGATAATTCAGAGAATTCTTCCAGATCTTCTCCAAAAGCATCAAGGCAGCACCTCTAGGAGTCTACTAAAACCACAGCTTTACTGGGCTTGAGGTGCCCCCTAAAGCAGATACAACTTAGATCAAAACAACCAGGCGATTAGGAATGTCTGGAAAGCCTTCCCAACAAGTATGGGTACCAACAAGTGCTGACTGCAAAGATCACAATAAATATTTACTCTTAAATGCCCAGACACAGGTGAGTGTCTACAAGTATTGAGACCATCCAGGAAAACTTGACCTCACCAAATGAACTAAATATGGAACCAGTGATGAATCCTGCAGAAACAGATATGTGACCTTTAAGATACATAATTCAAAATAGTTGTGTTGAGGAAAGTCAAATAAGTGCAAGATAAAACAGAGAAGGAATTAATAACTCTATCAGATAAATTTAACAAAGAGATTGAAATAATTACAAAGAATCAAGTAGAAATTCTGGAGCTGAAAAATGCAATTAGCATAGTGAAGAATGTATCCGAGTCTTTTAATAGCAGAATTAATCATGTAGAAGAAAGAATTAGTGAGCTTGAAGACAGACTATTTGAAAATACATAGCAAGCGGAGACAAAAGAAAAAAGAATGAAAAACAGTGGAGTATGCCTGCAGGATACTTAAAATAGCCTCAAAGGGCAAATCTAAGAATTATTGGCCTTAAAAAGGAGAGGTAGAGAAAGAGAGGTAGAAAGTTTAGTCAAACGAATAACAATAGGGAACTTCCCAAACCTGGAGAAAGATATCAATATCCAAGTACATGAAGTATAGTATACCAAGCAGATTTAACTTACAGAATACTACTCTAAGGCATTTAAAGGTTAAATTCCGAAAGGTCAGGGATCAAGAAAGGATCCAAAATGCAGCAAGAGAAAAGAAACAAGTAACATAAAATCCACCTCCAACACACCTAGTAGCAGACATTTCAGTGGAAACCTTAGAGGCCAGGTGAGAGTGACATGACATATTTAAAATGCTGAAGGAAATGACTTTTGCCCTACAATAGTATACTGGCTAAAATATCCTTCAAACATGTAGGAGAAATAAAGACTTTCCCAGACAAACAAAAGTTGAGGAATTTCATGAATACCAGATGTGTCCTACAAAAAATTGCTAAAGGGGGTACTTCAATCATAAAAAAAAAAAAAAATTAATGAGCACTAAGAAATCATCTGAAGGTTTAACACTTACTGGTAATAATAAATACACAGAAAAACGTAGAATATTTTAATACTGTTAACTGTGGTGTAAAAACTACTCTTAAGTAGAAAACTAAATGATGAAACAATCACAACTAATAACTACAAAAACTTTTCAATACAGACTGCATAATAACATATAAATAGAAAAAACTGAAAGTTAAAAAGTAGGGGGAATGAAGTTAAGGCATAGAGTTTTTATTAGCTTTCTTTTTTTTTTTTTTTTAATGCAAACAGTGTTAGGTTGTTATCAGCTTAAAGTAAAGGGTTATTAGATAGTATTTAGAAACCTCATAGCAACCTCAAACCAAAAAACATACAATATATACACACACAAAAAGAAAATGAGAAATAAAATATCACAAGAGAAAATTATCTTTACTAATAGGAAACAGGAAAGAAAGAATGAAGGAAGAGAAGACCTCAAAACAACCCCCCAAAAATGGCAGGAGTAAGTCTTTACTTATCAATAATAGCCTTGAATATAGATTAAACTCTCCAATCAAAAGACATAGACTGGCTGAATGTATGAATGAAAACAAGACCCACTGATCTGTTACCTACAAGAAACACACCTCACCTATAAAGATGCACATAGACTTCAAATAAATAAAGAGAGAAAAATATTCCATGCCAATGGAAACCAATAAAGTGTGGGGGAGATATCCTTATGTCAGACAAAATAGATTTCAAGATAAAACTATAAGAAAAGACAAAGAAGATCACCATATTACAAAGAAGATCATTATATTATGACAAAGAGGTCAATTCAGCAAAAGGCTATAACAATTTTAAATATATATGAACCCAACACTGGAGCATTAAGATAAATAAACTAAATATTATTAGAGCTAAAGAGACAAATAGGTTCCAATGTAGTAACACCTGAAGACTTCAACAGCCTGCTTTCAACATTGAACAAATCTTCCAGGCAGAAAATCAACAAAGAAATATCGGACTTAGCCTGTGCTATAGAACAAATGGACCTAAGAGGTATTTATAGGGCATTTCCTCCAACAGCTGGTGAATACACATTCTTTTCCCCAGCACATGAATTACTGTCAAGGATAGACCATATGATAGGTCACAAAAAAAGTCATAAAATATTCAAAAGATTGAAATAATATCAAGAATTTTTGACTACAATGAAATAAAACTAGAAATCAATAACAAGAGGAATTTTGGAAATGACAAATCCATAGAAATCAAACAATATGGTCCTGAATGACAGGTGGTTCCATGAAGAAATTAAAAAGAAAATTGAACAATTTATTGAAACAATTGATAATGAGAATTTAACATATCACAACCTCTGGGATACAGTGAAAGCAGTCTATGAAATAAATTTATAGTTACAAGTGCCTACATCAAACAAAGAAGAAAAACTTCAAGTAAACAATTTAATAATGAATCTTAACTCACAAAGCAAGAGAAAACCAAACCTAAAATTAATAGAAGAAAATAAATCATAAAATCAGAGAAATAAATGCAATTGGAGTAAATAAAACAACATAAAAGATCTGTGAGACTAAAAGTTGGTGTTTTGGAAAGTCAAAAAAAAAAAAAAGAAAGAAATGAAAAATGATTAGCCAGACTAAGAAGAAAAGACAGAAGATTCAACTTAATAAGATTAGAGATGAAAAAGGATACATTACAACGGATAATGCAGAATTTAAAAGGATAATTACTGTCTACTATGAGCAACTATATGCCAATAAATTGGACAATCTAGAAGAAATGAACAAATTCGTAGACACATACAATTTATGATGATTGAACCAGGAAGAAATCCAAAACCTGGATAGACTAATAACAAGTAAGAAAAACAAAGTTGTAGTAAAAAGTCTCCTAGTAAACAAAGGCCGGAGACCTTATGGCTTCACTGCTGAATTATACCAAACATTTAAAGAACAACTCATGCCAATTCTAATCATACTATTTCAAAAACTAGAGGAGGAAATACTTCAAAACTCATCCTACAAAGCCGCTATTACCCTGATACCAAAACCAGACTAAGATACACGCGCGCGCACACACACACACACACACATAAACACAGAGAAAAAGAAAATTACAGGCAAATACTCCTGATGAATATTGATGCAAAAATCCTTAACAAAATAGTAGCAAGCCAAAATCACATGTAAAAGGTCATTCCTCATGACCAAATGTGATTCATTTCTGGGATGCAAGGATGACAAAAAGCAATTGATAAAATTTAACATTCCTTTATAATAAAAATCCTTAAAAACTGAGTATAGAATATAGAAGGAACAAACCTCAATATAATAAAAGCTATATATGACAGACTCACAGCTAGTATCATACAGAATGGGAGCGGGGGAACTAAAAGCCTTTCTTCTAAGTACTGGAACATGGACAAAGATGCCAACTTTGACCACTTTATTCAGCATAGTACTGGAAGTCCTACCTAGAGCAATCAGACCAGAGAAAGAAATAAAGGGCATCCAAATTGGAAAGGAAGAAGTCAAATTATCTTTGTTTGCAGATGACATAATCTTTTACTTGGAAAAACCTAAGGACGCCACCAAAAATTATTAGAACTGTTAAAGAAATTTAGTAAAGCTTAAGGATACAAAATCAACACTCAAAAATCAATAGCATTTCTATACACCAACAGTGAATAACCTGAAAAAGAAATTTAAAATGTAATCCTATTTATAATAGTCACAAAAGAAATTAAATGCCTAGAAATTAACTTAAGCAAAGAATTGAAAGGTTTCTATAATAACTATAAAACACTCATGAAAGAAATTAAAGGGGACACCAAATAGTGGAAAGATATTCCATGTTCTTGAATTGGAAGAATCAATATTGTTGAAATGTCCATACTACTCAAAGCAATCTACACAACCAATGCAATCCCTACCAAAACCAATGACGTTCTTTACAGAAATAGAAAAGAAAAAAACCTAAAATGTATATGGAACCTCAGAAGACCCAGAATAGCCAAAGCTATTATAAACTAGAGGAATCACGTTACCCGACTTCAAATTACACTACAAAGCTATGGTAACCAAAACTCCATGAT